CATTATGCTAAGTGAAAGAAGCAAGTCACAAAGGACCACATGTTGCATGATTCCATTCATATGAAATTTCCAGGGCCGGCCCCGTGGCTTAGCGGTTAAGTGCGTGTGCTCTGCTACTGGTGGCCCGGGTTCGGATCCTGGGTGTGCACCGATGCACCGCTTCTCTGGCCATGCTGAGGCCGCGTCCCACATACAGCAACTAGAAGGATGTGCAATAATGACATACAACTATCTACTGGGGCTTTGGGGGGAAAAAAAAAAAGGAGGAAGAGGACTGGCAATAGATGTTAGCTCAGAGCCGGTCTTCCTCAGCAAAAAAGAGGAGGATTCAGCATGGATGTTAGCTCAGGGCTGATCTTCCTCACAAAAAAAAAAAAAAATTTCCAAAGTAGGCAAATCTAGAGAGATAGTAAGTAGATTAGTGATTGCCAGGGCTGGGGAGGATGGGGGACTAGTGGGTGATGGCTAAGGGATGCAGGGTTTCTTTGGGGGATAAGGAAAATTATCTAAAATTGTTTGTGGCGATAGATGCACAACTCTGAATATACTAAAAACCAATGAATTGCACACTTTAAATGGATGAATTGTATGGTAAGTGAATTATATCACAATAAAGCTGTTAAAAACAGTAAAAAAGCCATAACGTCCTGGATCCTAGAAGGACCCCTCTGAAAAGTGGTAGAACAGTTTATCACTCTATTCTCTTTAGTACTTCACTTGCCAAGAATCTTATAATTATTTTTGTTTTTATCACTAGACAGATGAACTAAGAGATGCCATGTACTTTTTAATCTCCATTTTGCCAGTGAGGAATAAATGTCCGTCAGTCAACTTGCCAGAAGTCTTGTAACTGGAACTGGAACTCACCCTGCCTTTAAGTCAAGGTCGGCTCCCCCCACCTCACCATGACCAGCGGGATGCGTTATCTAGGGATAGTTATCTGTCTATGGGCCACACTCATGAGTCTCAGAAGAGCTGAGAAATATGTAAATCAGTCCCTAACTCAGAGAGAGAGGCAAATGCGGCAGGGTGAAGGTGCAGTCCCCAAAACCAGGCTTGAGGAGGTCGGGCTCTGCCCGTGAACTCTACGTTGCTTTGGTATAAGGCGAGTTTTTCAGTTTTATTTCCCTGACGGGGGATCTTGAGACCAGCGCTGCTGAGGGAGGGGAGGAGTGAGGTTTGCTGGAAGAAAGCGGGCAGATTTTGTAGATGGGGGAACAGCAGAGACGGTTAAAGCAAAGTCCAGGAAGTTTCACTGGTGAACTCCTTCCTCCATCTCCCCACAGAACTATGATATTCATCAACTACTCATCAGAGCTTTTGGAGTGTGTGTGTGTGTGTGTGTATGTGTGTATGGCACGTGGGTGTTGACGCTTGTGTGCAGGTGAGCAGCCGTAAGAATAGCAGCAGGGAACCAAGGTGGCCTGGGTAGAGGCAGATTACGCAAATACAGAAGATCCCAATAAACTGTGATCATAAAGTTCAGAGAAAAAACTCCGTGGGCTACAGGGACATGGAAATTTATTTGATTGATGTGCAACCGCAATTTTCCCCCTCTCGCATAGCCCTCACTGGAAATTACAGGCATCAGCTCACTGCACCAGCATCCCTTAATAATTGGCTAATTCAATTTAATGATTCCCGACACTTATTTTACGAAAACAAACGGATGCACCAGTTACATCAGAAATGCTTCCAATTTCTTAAAACCTGCTCAAGGCAAATTTAATCAGAATTAAGTCAAAATTATTTAACTGCATGGAAATACACATGGAATATAGCATTTTCCCGTAAGGTGAAGATGTTACAGTAAAGAAAACAGGAGGTGCAAGAGATTTCATTTATTTGCCTCTGAAGCCTGAAATCAATTTTTTTCTGCAACCTGTAATATAAGTTCTTAGCTTAAAGGATGGAGATGAAAGGAAAAACTCCCAAACTGGTGCACAAGAGATGACTCAAATGAGCTCTAGGAATTATAATTGTTATTGTTATGCCTGAAAGACTACTGAATATGAATAACTAAAAGTTCTAAATAAAAAAGAGGGGAGGAAGAAAAGAAGGAGGAAGGGGAAAGGAAGTATTGAAGTAGGGAGGAAGAGTAGGAGGAGAGAGGGAGAGGAGGGGGGGATGGAAGGAAGGAGGAATGAGGCCATCCCAGGATCCCAGTTTCTGGGGATAATTCAGTGTTTTTCAGGGAAAATCCTCTCTCTTTACTACTTCTTTTTTTTTTTTAAGATTTTATTTATTTATTTTTCTCCCAAAGCCCCAGTAGATAACTGTCTGCCATAGCTGCACATCCTTCTAGTTGCTGTACGTGGGACGCGGCCTCAGCATGGCCGGAGAAGCAGTGCGTCGGTGCGCGCCCGGGATCCGAACCCGGGCCGCCAGCAGCGGAGCGCGCGCACTTAACCGCTAAGCCACGGGGCCGGCCCTCTTTACTACTTCTGATCAATATCAGAGACAAGCCTCCTATTTATACACACAAAAGTAGGTCTCCTTTCGAAAATGAGTCTTTTAACTCTTTCGGCAGCCCACCCTATGCTATTTCAAAACTTGCTATTACACAGAACAATGAGACCTCAAGTGTACGAGAGCGATCTGATGACCCCATGAAGCTTTTAGAAAAGGCTAAAAGTGAACTGCCTACAGGGGCAGGCATGTAATGTGGATGAAGAGGGCTAGGACTGGTATCAAATACCAGAACGTTCCTCTCCACAGAGAAGGGCCACAAACCCTCCTGCGTCGGGCTCAGGAGTTGGTATGAAAGGCAGGGATAGGGTACCTGGAGGAGACACAATGGGTCTGTGGCTAGAGAAAAATGGGTGAAAAGGAGACCTACAGGAATAGATGGTTAGGATAAAAAGAGAGATGAAGAGGAGAGTAAAGACGATGACGAAACAAGAAAGATGTGTCTATATCCAGAACAGTAGAGTGTTGCTAACAATTTAATCTGTGAAACTAAGAGATTGAGAGTAATTCCAGACCAAGCCCATTCATTATGAACCACATCAATTTCTTAGAGATTTGTCTTCCCTTCTTTATCTGAAGTATAAAGGGAACTTTCTATCTCCTGGCAAAATCTTCACCATAAGGGATTCAAAGACTTGAAGAGAATCTGAGAAAGGATGCAGTTCACTAGAGGAGGGAATGGCAGCAAGGCCTCCTCGGATAAGAAGAACCAAGTTGACCAAAATTAGACTTTTTCTATCAGGAATAGTTTTCACATAATTAATATTAAATGATTTTAAAATTGTGAAGAGTTTTAAATTTTAAATATGGAGAAAAAGTTATATAGGTGCAAAAAGACAAGAGAAAGCTTTTTTTAAATTGTAAAAGTACATGCTAATATGACATATTATTAAACTGAATTTACTATGGTTTCAGAAACTTTTATTTATTCCTTATCGAAATAGATGAACTGTATTTTTACTTAGTGACTGTACTTACTTTGCTTTCATATATGGCCACTTTGACAGCCAGAAAGATAGCATGAGGCTCAGCATTAGTGTAACTACTTTCAATAAGTACAAAGAATAATAAACAGAAACTTCTACCTATTATCAGACATCATAAAATTTTTACAATTGCATCATCTCTCATCTTTGAAAGGAAATAAAGTAAATCCAATTAGGAATTTGGGGTGATTCTATGAAATTAAAAACATGTTTTATATCTCTTTCTACCAAAAACAATGTGTAAATACAGATCAAGAGTAGGAACAGGTATAACTACAAATATTAAAAGTAATAAATCCTATATATAAAATAACTATGGGACCCATTTAGAGAGAGAAAGTACAAATATCAAGCAAGGTTGATATTCCTGCTACTAGTAATAATCAGAATTTATTCAAATGCCCTTATTTCTGGTACAGCTTTCACTTACAAAGCACTCTAATGCCATGCAACAGCACTCAAGTTCATAATTCTCCCAGATAGACAAGGAATGGTTCATTTTCTACACTGTGCATTTTATTGAAAAATGGAAAGCGAGACAAACAACAGGAAAGGAAGTATTTTGCACAAGGACCAAAGCCTGCCAGCAGTTCAGCTGGCCTCGACTTGTCCCTAGTAGAGAGCAGAATTTCTCAAGGGCTACAATTACAGTCCTGCCCAAACTAACCCTAATGAAAATGCCTGTCAAAGTTTTGTACTTTTGTGACCATGTGAACCAAAAGATCAGTGAGCATAACTGAGTGCTGGGAGCCAGTCTGGCCAAGCAAGGAGCAGTAAAATCTTCTTTCAAAATATTTGTGTCCCCTCTACTAAGAGAAAGCTTCTAATATTACCTTGACAGCTCCTTAGCGGACTAGACTTAACAGAACCCAAGAAACACCAACAGAGATCAGTTTCAATTAATCCCTAATTTGCTGCAATGAGAAAAAAGAAGGCATCCTCTCTTCTCTCAGGCATATATTATGGTTTCACTAACTATTACTGCAACAGCTCTCACATCATCACACACATACAATCTCGAATGAGCACTCACCACAAACACACGAGGAAGCAGATTCAGGGAGAGGCAATAGATTAAATTAGCCCTTTTGCACCCAATTTTCAACCAGTCTGAAATTTCTGGCAAGTCTGCCATCCTGAAGAGGAAACCATCCAGCTTCCAAATAAAGTTGCCTTTCACCTTAAATGGAGATGGGGCTCAGGTCCGCTCTAGGATATGCTGTTAGTCAAAAATTAATATTATGTTCTAACTTTTGAGCACATTTCCCAAACTCATGGGGCATGCCCCTCTTTATAGTAATTTCCCAGAATTTCTCCATTTAAAATGCATGCAAGACAGGTGGCGTCATCCTCCACTCCTCTGACGATCTCAGAGAAATTAATTAAGTTGGCTGGGGGAAAGCCGTGTGAGACTGTCCTTCTCATGAGCATGTTTAATCAGACCCCGCTGCCTCTGAGCCAAGAGTGGCAGCCTCTTCAATATTCAAGGGGTCTCACTTCCCTTGCCAAGCCCTGCCAGCCCAACAGGGCCACAGATAAACTCACCTGCCATTCTTGGTCACGATCATTTCATTCGTGACTTCCTTGAATCTCTGCCAGAGCGGTGCATCCTCCAGGATGATCTGAAGTTGCTTCTCCGTAGGGTCGCCTTTTTCCCTTCCTGCCTGAAGCTCACTTTCCACCACGTTGAGCAGGCGAGAAACAGTGCCATCACTGGTCTTCTGACTGCTCAGCTCACTCATGGCCATAGGCCCCTCTCAAACTTCACTGAGAAATGTTACCTACTTGCCTGTTTCCACCTCCTTCCTCCTCTCCCTTGCCTGCTTTTCAAACCCAGCTGGAGAGTGCCTGAGGAGCTGGAGAGAACATGCCCTGGCTGTTGCCTAAGCTCCGAGCATGACACCCCTTAAAGTCTCCAAATTATACCACCAACCTGTTAAGCTTTAGTTTGGGGGGGGAGGGCGGAGGGGAGAGGTGGGAAAGAAAAAGCCCTCTCTTAATTACTCATTGGATCAGGTGGAGAGAGCCTGGCTTTCCCATTGGCTGCTGTGCATAGAGTAGACGTTTAAGAAGAGTACTCCATCCAAATTATCAGGCTTTTATCTTGTTGTACCTGAAGAGGTCTAATCGGTGTATTGAGGACCATTTTCCCATTAATTAAAATTGTTCCAGGCCCAGACTGCAACAATCAGGCAAATCATGTTTGTGTATAAATCATGGCATGTGGCACCTATAGGGAAAGAGGTCCTGGGAGAATTGACCAACTTGATGCCCACTCAGGCTTTCCTGACGCAGCTGAGAACCTAAAGCCCTTGGCTATCTGCTAGCGCTGGACAGAATAGCATATATGAAAGGCCAAAGGCAATGTGCCAAGGAGTACGACAACCATACCAGAGAATGGAGGAAGATGCTCTGTGTGCCACCCACTCAAGGGTCAGAGATCAGGAGAGAAAAGGGCCAAGGACCTCTTTCTCCCAGGGTGTCCCCTAGTGCTCATCTCGCTCCTGAGGGACCCTACACATACCCACAACCTGTTCGCCTCCCACAGACAGAAGAGCTCTGAACCTTGTCCTGCGTCCCTAGAATCCGGAGCTTAAACTTCTCTTATCTCCAGCCCTAGCCAGAGAGAGAAAAAATCATTTAGCATCATATTAATCTCTCTAAGGAAGCACTCTGCCCCCAGTGAGTGAAAATAAGCTTTGTACATCATTACACAGAGCAATTTTGATCCTGTGTCCAGAAAGGCATTCTGGCTTTCCCTTTAGACAGTCCACGGCCCATCTGGCACTTCGGGGTGAATCCCCACATTCCCTGGGAAGACACTACTGGTAAAAACGTTTCTTTACACACAGTATAAATTGGGAAAGGGGAGGGAAAGGACAGAGGTAGCTCGACCTCCACAACCCTGAGTAGATCCCGGAACTTGTGAGTTTTTCTCTTGCTACAACAGAAAGTAAGAAGATCAAAATAAAAGCAAATAAATAAGATAAAGTCAGAGTAAGGATGATACACAAAACACACTCAGTGCCTAAGTACCAAATGCTGATGAAGCATCACATCCAGTGACGAAGGAGACAGAAACGGCCTGTGCCTTCACGGAATTAACAACCTGATAGAGAAGATGAGTAATGTAAAGCAAACAACAACTAAGTAATTCTCAATAGTGATGAGTCTATGAAGACTATGTAAAAGGGTGAGGCAGTAGAGGAAAATGTGTGCAAAGTGGGGGGTGGGGGGTCCTAATTAGATGGGGTTGTACAGAAAGCCTCCTCCAAGGAGGAGACATTTCGACTGAGAACAAAAAGATAACAAGGATTTAGTCGGGAAGGAGTAGGGGGAAGAGTTCCAGGCAGAGGAAGCACATGTGAAAAGCATGTGGACCAGCTGGGGAACTACAGGAGGCCAGTGTGGCCAGAATGTGGTGGAAAGAGAGAGCAGAGTGAGATGTGCTTTGAGAGGGGCAGTGTAAGCTCTAGTAAGGAACTGGATTCTATTCAACGTGAGACAGGAAACTGTTGGAGGGTATTAAGCAGGAAAATAGTATAATTTGCTTTGTGTTTTTAAAAAATCTGACTGATTTGTAGAGGTAGACTAGTAAAAGGCAAGAATCAAAGTAAAGAGACAAATTAGGAGGCTGTTATAGTGGTTCAGGCACGAGATAGTGGTGGCTCAGCCTAGGGTGGTGGCAGTGGCCACAAAGAAACATTAATGGATTCTAGATCCATCTAGAAGTAGATAAGACAGAATGACATGAGGGACTGGATGTGGGGGTGAGGGGGAGCAAGGAAGCAAGTGTCTGAGGTGAACAATTAGTAGACTGCAGAGCCATTTACTGAGATGCGGAAAGCTGCGGGGAGATGGGTTTGCAGAGGTACAGCTTTAGTTAGAGGAATCAAAATTTCTATTTTTATAGACTTAATGTTGAGAAGGTTGTGATAGGTGGAATAATGGACCCCCAAAAGATGTCCATGCCCTAATCCCCAGAACCTATGAATACGTTATCTCACATGGTAAAAAGGGACTCTGCTGCTCAACATCATATGTCACCAGGGAAATACAAATTAAACCAATAATGAGATACCACTACGCACCCATGAGAAAGACCAAAATCCAAAACACCGACAACACCAAACATAGGCGAGGATGCGAAACAACGGGAACTCTCATTCATTGCTGGTGGATGCAAAATGGTAGAGCCACTTTTGAAAGACAGTTTGGCTGTTTCTTACAAAACTAAACAGGGCCGGCCCCGTGGCTTAGC